CCCGCTCATAGTGATGTTATACTGTTGTTGTTAAGGACCATCACGTACGTTCTGACTTCCCGCTCATAGTGATGTTATACTGTTGTTGTTAAGGACCATCACGTACGTTCTGACTTCCGGCTCATAGTGATGTTATACTGTTGTTGTTGTTGTCGTTAAGGACCATAAAGCAGGTTCTGACTTCCCACTCATAGTGATGTTCTACTATTGTTGTTGTTAAAGACCATCAAGTATGTTCTGACATCCCACTCATAGTGGCCCCATATGGTGGTGGTGGTGTGTCCTGAAGTTGGCTCCAACTCCTAGTGACCCTGCATAGGGTTTCCAAGGCTGCAAATCTTTATGGGAGTAGAAAGCCTCATCTTTCTCCCATGGAACCGCTGGTAGTTTTGAACTGCTTACTGTGAGATTATCAGCCTGACACGTAACCACTACGATCCCAGAGCTTCTTGATGTTATATTGAGGGGACTGCAATAGTTGAAATGAAACAAAGTGCCTGATTTGTTGGATATAAAACTGATGACTTGCTCTGTAAATCATCATGCAATTCTAAAGAAAAAACTAAAAAATGTAATGCTGGAGACATGATTTTTGATCAATAAGAGCCCGAGGCCTTTCCTACCTGTGGGCTTGGTGGTGAAGGTGTGTGCCAGAGAGGATGCTGGGAAGGATGTAGAGGTCACAGTTACTGAGGAAGAAAACACCAGGATTGAAAGTCAGGGTGAATTAGCTCTAAGGAAATGGCAATGGTGGTGGTGGGAGGGCAGCAAATTATGGGAATTTGCAGTTTTCTCTATGACCTGCTCGACCTGGGGAGAGGGCATGAATCTCAAAAAGGTAGGCAACTCAGTCCACATTCTATCCATGTCCTCTGGACCCTTTTCCTTTCTGCTGGTAAACAGCATGGGAGGGGTGGGCAAGTACAGCAGCTCCTATTATTCAGGAGATGTGGGGTGGTCCCAGGTACACAGGCATATTAGAATCCCTGATACTCACTGTTGGAGGTCGTGGCTGAGGCCCAGTAAGTATAACCTGCAGACAGTACAGTTGAGGAAAGGAGAGACATTAAATGAGGAGACAACTTGACCACAGGAGGGATGGTGGCTGAACCATCACAGCTGTGATTCCTTAGAAGGACAACAGAGTCCCTATCTGGCAGGGATCAAAGGTCACAGAGCCCCATCCCACCTAGGAGAGACAGAGACCTTACTTCAAGTTGTCTAATAGGAGAAACCCAGATGGAATTGTGAACTTGGGGCAGAGACCAGTCCAGCAAAGAAGAGGAGAAGCCCGCCACAGGAGGGCATCTCACCATTGACATAGAGACTGTCCTTATCCAGAATGTAGGGACCCAATTGGGTGACCCCGTGAGTGAGCTTTCTCAGCTCCCAGTAAAGCCACTCTCTGTCCAGACTGGGGCCTTCAGGGTCAGGGCGGTGAGTGCAGACGGCATCTACTCTGGTGGCTTCCCTGTCCTTCCTGGGCCTGGGGACGAAGGATGGAGGATGACAACTAATGGCATCTCCTGAGAGGGGTCCTGAGTTTCTTTAGGGCAGAGTAGGAAGGGACCGAAGGAGATGGACTAGTGAAGACCTGGGTTTGGGATTAAAGCCAGTGGAGAAGGCACATTTGTCTGGAAAGAACACTGGGGACAGAATTTAACATCAGAAGGAAATGCCCTTATTGGTCAGAGGAAGGGAGAAAGAGAAATCACAAGGTGACCAGGTAGGGGCCAGTCCTGCTGAGAGGCTTTCCAGAGTCTGTGAGTGGGACCAGCTGTCTTGCCAAGGTGTCTCACCTGAGTGAGGTCAGTGTGCAGTTAGAATAGAGGTGGCCAACACTGGTCTTATTGAACAAGGGTCCAAGCTGATAAGGAAAGAGAAGGAGGTGAGCAGGAGGGCCCAATGCACAGAGTGGCTGTCTGGGCAGGTACGAGGTGGGGCAGCCAGGTAGAAACCACAGGGCTCTCACCAGGCGCTGCATGATCCTCTCAGTGAAGTTGAACTTGGAGGAGCCTGGGCGTCCCATGTCATCCGTGTAGCGCAGGTTGGTGATAGTGAAGTTGAGGGTGAAGGGAACCAGGCCAGGTTCAGCAGCTACATTGGGGGAGGAATAGAACGACGCCCATTTGGATCGTAGTAATAGTCGCTATGAGTCGGAACTGACTCCACAGCACATAACAACAACAACAAATAGCTGAGGTTATCTGGAACCTGGGCTAAAAGCAATAGCAGTGGAGTAAGTACAGAGCTGAAGGAGGGAACATTCTGGAATTCACAAGTCGGGAACTTTGACTCATTCTTTCAAAGAGCATTTATTGAATGTAACACATCTGTGAGTGGTGCAGGTGGCTTACAATGGACTGTTAACCTAAAGGTTGGCAGTTTGAACCCACCCTGGTGATCTGATTCTATAAAGATTATAGTAAAAAAAACCCTGCTGCCTCATGCCCCATGTTGGGCGCTATTATACCGTGGCCGACAAGCGGCTATACTCCGTGACTGGCACAGAGAAATTAAACCTGAGTAGGGGCGATGGGAGATTAGAAAAAAAAAGGAAGACTCAAGGCACAAAATGAAATAAGTAAAGTTGGGACCAGGTGGGACACAGCACTCTGATGGAGACACTGTGACTCAGACCGAGATTCAGCACATTTATTACATTCACATATCAAAGGAGGTGCTGGGGCCAGGGAAAAGAATAACATCTGGTGTTATTGATGCATACAGTAAGCGGGACTTTATCAGAAGAATGTAACTTGTGGTTGCTAAGGAGACAAAGATAGCCCAGCTAGATGCTTTTTGCAGACTAAACTGAAGGCCATGGATGCATACAAGGAAAGACTTTGCAAATTCCTTGTTCCCTGAGGCAGGCTTTGCAAGTTTCTCAGGGGGCAGTCTAACCTGGGAGCAGCCCGATCTTCTGGACCACAACTGTTCAGTTGCAATCCTTCGGTTAAACTGTCCCCAAGTCTGAGACCTTCGGTTCAGCCGCTCCCAACAAAAACCCTCTGGAACACTTCTATTCTGTAACACCACAGGTCACTATGAGTCAGAATCGACTGACAGCAATGGATTTAATGTTTTGGTTTTGGAATGGGTGCAAAGGTCTGGGATGGTCTCTGCTGGTTCATAGAAGAATAAGGTGTAATAAAATAGATTCAGTTGTAACCCCCAAAACATGTATAGGAATTCTATCTTCTATAACTATAAATATAATCTACTTGGAGAGCAGACTTTTCTTTTTTATGGTAATGAGTTCATATTAGTATAGGGTGTATGCTAAACCTAATCATTTTTGCGTTATTAAAAGAGCAAATTAGACACAGAAGGACAAGCACAAAGAGCGAAAGACAGATGCCATGCGTGGATTCCCAAGGAAGCAAGGAATACTGGGCTACAGAAGCTGAAAGAGACAAAGCTCTTCCACCACAGCCAACAGAGAGACAACCTTCCCCAAAAGATGGTGCCTCTAGCCTCAGAAACACTGAGAAAATAAATTTCTGTTCTTTAAAGCCATTCTGGTATTTCTTCTACTGCAGTGCCAGATTACTAACACATGCATTCTTCCAGTATTGTGGCCTGGGGAGTGACCTGACCTTTGCACTGCAGGGGAAACTAGGAAGCATAGTGTCAAGAAATTGTACCCAACCCACTGACTCAGGTAAACTTCACAAGAGAACCACCATTTTGTTGTTGTTGTTGTTGTGCCGTGGAGTCAGTTCTGATTCATAGTGACCCTGCATAGGGTTTCTGAGGCTGTAAATCTAAGCACCATTTTAGGTGTTACTAAAAGTTAGGTAAATGGTATAGCTGATAACTGGAAAGAGTGCTCCAGTCAAAAGGAACATTCTGGTCAAAGCTTGGTGTTAGGGCAGAGCAAGTGCCCACAAGGAACCTGAAGTCCTTTCATTGTGGACAAATCAAAGTGAGTCTGGAAGGGTCCTCTGTGCTGTGACTAACAAGATACTAGACACAATTTGATGTCAGGTGGAACCATCTACAGATTGTCAGTGAAACTGGAATGGCATGGACACATATAGGTCATGGTGCTGTAGGATCAGCATTGGACTGCAAACCACAAGGTCAGTGGTTCAAACCCACCAGCTGCTCCTCAGAAACCCTATACAGGGTCGCTATGAGTCAGAACGGATTCATTGGCACTTAGCAACAACAACAAAGGGGCCCTGGTGGCACAGTAGGTTAAGTATAAAGTTGGTGGTTTGAACCCAACAGTAGTACTTCAGTGGGAAAAAGATGGGGTGATCGGCTTCCAGAAAGACTTAAAACCTGGGGAAACCTATGGAACAGTTAAACTCTATTCCATAGAGTTCTCATGAGCTGGAACTCAGATGGCAGTGGATTTGGTGTGTAGACAGCCATGAAGACTGAGATGAAGCAAGTGCCAAAAAACGAAGGACTTGAGAGATACTCAAGAGGAAGGAGAGATGAGCTTTGCTGATGAACAGATGAGGGAGGCAAGGAACAGGGAGGGCCTCTGTCTTTGGTGATCAGGGAAGGAACAAGTCAGAGGTACGGTGATAACTTCAGGGTTGGCATGTTCAGACCAAGCAGCCTCAGTGATGTCTCAGTGATATGGATGTACCAGGGGTCCAAAGGCACTATGGGGTGTGGATTGGGCACCAAGAGTCTAGGTGGCTGGGAGAATCCACACAAATGGGTGAGTTCCCTCATGAATGTGAATGATGAATGAAGGAAGAATTTATTTTGTACAGATAATTCTGGTAAAATGACTCTGTTACCTGTAAAATCTTGAGTCCTTTCCTACCTGTGGGCTTGGTGGTGAAAGTAGGTGCCAGAGAGGATGCTGGGAAGGATGTGGAGGTCGCAGCTTCTGGGGATTGAAAAGTCACTGAGTTAGCTCTAAGGAAATGGCAATGAGTGGGTGGGAGGCCTGGAGTAGGGTACTACGTCATGGAAATGCAGTTCTCTCTCTGACTGCCTCAACCTGAGAAAAGGACATTGACCTAGAAGGATGGTAACTCAGTCCATGTTCTGGGCATGCCCTCTGGACCCTTTTCCTTCCCTATGGCAGGTAGTGAGGAGAGAAGCTGACAGATCCAGCAGCTTCTATTGTTCAGATGTGGGTGGGCCCAGGTACACAGGGAGGGATATTGGGGTCTGTAATACTCACTGTTGGAGATGGTGGTTGAGGCCTGGTGGGTATAACCTGCAGGTGGGGAAGAAAAGGGAAGGGGAGACAATCCATGAGGAGGCAACTTGGCCACAGGACAGATGGTGACCGGACCACACAGCTGTGAGTCCTTACAAGTAAGGCCGAGCCCCTACCTGGTGAGAATCAAAAGTCACACAGCCCATACCCACCCAGGAGAGACAGGGGCCTTGCTTAAAGTTCTCTGATAGGAAAGACCTAGATGCATGGCTGAATTTGGGGCAGAGACATGTCCTAGCAGGACCCACCCAGCAAAGAAGAAGAGACCTCCCCACACCCAACCACAGGAGTCCCTCTAACCGTTGACATAGAGACTATCCTTGTCCAGAGTATAGGGCTCCAATTGGGTGATGCCAGAGGTTAGTTTGTTCAGCTCCCAGTAAAGCCATACTCTGTCCAGCATTGGGCCTTCAGGGTCAGGGCGGTAGGTGCAGATGGCATCTACTCTTGTGGCCTCCCCATCTTTCTTGGACCTTGGGAGGGAGGATGGGAAGAAGGATAACAATTGGTGTCTCCAGAGAGGGGTCCTGACGTTCTTAAGTGTAAGCCAGGAAGTAGCAGGATGAAATGACATAGGAGATCTAGATTTGGGATTAAAGGATACTTATATGGAGAGAATCCCTGGGGACAGAATCTAACACCCTAAAGAAATGAAATGCCCATCTTGATCAGAAGATGGGAAACCAAACATTCAGAAGGTGACCAGGAAGGACCAGTCAGCTGATGGGATCGCCAGAATCTAGGTCAGGAGTGGGGACCAAAGATGCCTTGGTCCTGAAACAAGTGCCTCCTGAATTCCAACTGTGATACGGATGCTGTACCAGCAGGACAGAAAGGATACTAAACAAATACCTTGGGCCTGGTAGCACCTGTGGTAGTGCTGACAGCTGAAGTGTCAGGTGACTCACCTGAGTGAGGTCAGTGTGCAGCCAGAGTAGAGGGGGCCAATACTGGTCTGATTGAACAAGGATCCAAGCTGGTGAGCATATAAAAGAGGTGAGCAGGGACTGAATAGCCACGTGGGCAGGTACGAGGTGGGGCCACCAGGTGGTCATCATGGGGCCCTCACCAGGCGCTGCAGGATCCTCTCAGTGAAGTTGAACTTGGAGGAGCTTGGGCGTCCCATGTCATCTGTGTAGCGCAGGTTGGTGATGGTGAAGTTGAGGGTGAAGGGAAGCAGGGCAGGTTCAGCAGCTACAATAGGGGAGGAAAAGAATGCTGTCCAGTTGGATCGTAGTAATGGCCAGGGTTTCCTGGAACATGGTTAGAAGTAGGAGTGAACTAAGTACAGCCACCTGCTGCAAGAGCTGAAAGAACAAGCGTTCTGGAATTCACAAGGTGGGAACTTTGACTCATTTATTCAATGAGCATTTATTGAATGCAAATGTTCATAATGGGCTGGTAACCTAAAGTTTGGCAGCTTGAACCCACCCTGGTGATCTATGTCTACAAAGATTATAGTCACGAAAACCCTCAGGAACTCTTTTACTTTGAAACACTTTGGGTCACTAAGAGTCAGAATTGAATTAGCAGCAATGGGTTTGCACTTTTGGTTTTGGAGTGGGTACAAAGTTTTTGCGGTGATTTCTGTGGGTCGACAGATGAGTAAGGTGGAATGTTGTGTATTGAATTATGTCTCCTGAAAATATGTGTTTGACTCCTCCCTTGTATACCTATGAATTTAATCCAGTTTGAGATTAGGTTTTTCTTTTTTCTTGTTAATGAGGCTGTATCAGTGTAGGGTATGTAGTAAACATAATCATTTTGAGATATCAAAATAATTAAATGGACATAAAAAGATCACAACCTTCTGTATGGATTACATCTCAATGCAAAGAAAACAAAAATCCTCACTAGACCAATAAACAACATTCTTATCAATGGAGAAAAGATTGAAGTTGTCAAGGACTTCATTCTTCTTGGATCAGCTATCAACTCTCATGGAAGCAGCAGTCAAGAAATCAAATGACGTATTGCATTAGGCAAATCTGCTGCATAAGACCTTTTTAAAGTGTTGAAGAGCAAAGATGTCAGCTTGAGGACTAAGGTGTGCCTGACCCAAGCCATGGTATTTTCAATAACCTCATATGGATGTGAAAGCTGGACAGTGAATAAGGAAGACTGTAGAAGAATTGATGCTTTTGAGTTATGGTGTTGGAGGAGAATATTGAAAGTGCCATGGGCTGCCAAAAGAACCAACAGATCCATGTTGGACGAAGTGCAGCCAGAGTGCTCCTTGGAGGCCAGGATGGACAAACTTCATCTCTCATACTTCGGACATATTGTCAGGAGGGACCAGTTGCTGGAGAAGGATATGATGTTTGGTAAGGCGGAGGGTCAGAGAATAAAAGGAAGACCCCCAGTGAGATGGACTGGCCAAGTGGCAGCATCAATGGACTCAAGTGTGGCAACAGTTGTGAGATTGGCCCAGGATCGGACAGAGTTTTGTTCTGCTGTGCATAAGGTCGCTATGGGTCGAAACCAACTTGATGGCACCTGACAACAACAACAGTATAGGAATCCTGATGTGGCGCTGTGGGATACACCACTGAATCGCAAGGTTGGTTGGAACCACAAGGTTGGCAGTTCAAACTCACCAGCTGCTCCTTGGAAACCCTACACAGGGTTGCTATGAGTTGGAACCGACTCGACGGCAGTTAACCACAGCAGCAACAACGTATAGGCCATAAGATGCCCTGGTGGCACAGTATGTTAAGTGTTGGACTGCTAACCCCAAATTCAGTGGTTCGCGTCTTTCGGCCACTCCACAGGAGAGTTGAGACCGTCTGCTCTCATAAAGATCTACATGCTCAGAAACTCAATGGAGCAGGGCAATTTGATCTACAGGGTCTGTATGAATCCAGGTAGATTTCATGGCACTGGGTTTGGTGAGTACATAGGCCATGGTGGAGGCTACTACAATCATTCTAGAGAAAGAAGCTGGTGACATAAATGAAGGCCAAGGTGAGGCAGATGCAGATAACTGAAGGCCTTGAGAGATGCTAAGGTGGGAGAAGAGATGACTTTTGGTGATGGATGGTGGTGGTACTTTCCCATTGTGTCAGCCTTGAGAGATGCTAAGGTGCGAGAAGAGATGACTTTTGGTGATGGATGGTGGTGGTACTTTCCCATTGTGTCGGTTCTGACTCATAGGGTTTCTGAGGCTCTAAATCTTTATGGGAGCAGAAAGTCTCATCTTTCTCCTGTGGAATGGCTCGTAGTTTCGAACTGCTGACTTTGAGATTAGCAGCCTGGGGAGATGTGGGAAGAGAGGAACAGGGAGAGCCTCTGACTTTAGTAATGAGGGGAGGGACAGGCTGAGGGATGATGATGACTTCAGGGTTGGCATGTAGACACCAAGCAGCCTCAGTGAGTCTTGGGTGGTAAGCAGTCATGGGGTCTAGAGCTACTGTGGAGTGTGGGTTTGGACATGCGTAAACTGAGTAGTGGAGTCCTGGTGTGGCACTGTGGGTTAATGCGTCAGACTGTGAAGTTGGTTTGAACAGCAAGGTTGGTGGTTCAAGCTCACCAGCTGCTCCTTGGAAACCCTATACAAGGTCACTGTGGGTCGGAATCGACTCGATGGCACTTCACAACAACAACAACAACAAGCTAAGTAGTAGGCAGAATCCACATACATGGATGAGCTCCCTTGGGGAAAACGAGTGAACAATGAACAAATAAATGATTTGGCAGAAATAATGCAGTGAAAAGAATTTCATTATCAGTAAGAGCTGGAGGCCTTTCTCACCTGTGGGCTTGGGGGTGAAAGCAGGTGCCAGAGAGGATGCTGGGAAGGATGTGGAGGTCACAGCTGCTGGGAAAGAAACACCAGAATTGAAATGCAACGTGAGTTTGCTCTAAAGAAACGGCCCTGGATGGTGGGGTGGGGAACTCAGTAATGGCGATGTTCGGCTCTCTGGATGGTCCTCTCAGCCAGGAACAGGGCCTGAGTCTCAAAAGGTGGACAAGAGAGTGATGCTGTCATCCCTAACTCAGTCCCCATTTTACGCATGCTCTTTGGACACTTCTTCTAGATGGTACAGGGGGAGGGGGTTGGCAAATCCCAAAGCTCCTATTGACCTGGAGATGAGGTTGCTCCCAGGCACACAGGGATACTGGGTGGGGTCTGTAATACTTACTGCTGGAGGTGGTGGCTGAGGCCCAGTGCGTGTAACCTGCAGATAGTGAATACAGAAGAGGGAGACACATTCAATGAGGAGGCAATTTGGCTACAGGAGAGTTGGTAGCTGGATCATAAGAGTTGAGATTCCTTACAAGAAAAGCAGAGTCCATACCTGGCAGGGATCAGAGCCCACAGGCCCCATTCCTACCCAAGATACTTACTCAAATTCTTCTCAAAAGAAAGGACCAGAGGGAAACCTGAACTTGGGACAGAAACTTATCCTAGCAGGACCCAGATACTAAGGGGGAGGGCCTCTCACCATTGACATAGAGACTGTCCTTGTCCAGAATATAGGGGCCCAATTGGGTGACCCCATGGGTCAGATTGCTCAGATCCCAGTAAAGCAACTCTCTGTCCAGATTGGGGCCCTCAGAGCGATGGGTGCAGACGGCATTCACTCTGGTAGCTTCCCCATCCTTCTTGGGCCTAAGGAAGGAGAATAGGGGTGGAATTATAACAAATGGTGTTCCCAGAAAGGGACCCTAAGACATTTTTTTGGGTAAAACAGGAAGGGGATGGAGGAAATGGGGCAGGTGAAGACCTAAATTTGGGACTAAAGTAAGTGGAGAAGGCACATTTATCTGGAGAGAATTCCTGGGAACAGAATTTAATATCCTAAGGGAATGTCCTTCTTGGTCAGAGGAAGGGGTGAGGGAATTCAGAGGGTGACCAGAGAGGGACCAGTTCTGCTGACAGGGTCTCTGGAGTCTTGGGGTTGGAGTGGGGACCAGAAAATGCCTTGGTCCTACAGCAGGTACTTCCTAACTCTACCTCTGCTGCAGATGCTGTCTCCGGTAGGGCAGATAACAAACCACACAAAAGGCTTATACCTGGGAGCACTTGTGATAGTCCCGACAGCTGAAGTGTCAGGTGACTCACCTGAGTGACGTCAGTGTGCAGCCAGAGTAGAGGGGGTCAATACTGGTCTGATTGAACAAGGGTCTCAGCTGGTGAGCAAAGAGAAGGAGGTGAGCAGGGACTGAATGGCCATGTGGGCAGGTATGAGGTGGGGTCGCCAGTTGGTCACCATGGGACTCTCACCAGGCGCTGCAGGATCCTCTCAGTGACGTTGAACTTGGAGGAGGCTGGGTGTCCCATGTCATCTGTGTAGCGCAGGTTGGTGATGGTGAAGTTGAGGGTGAAGGGCAGCAGGGCAGGTTCAGCAGCTACTTTGCAAGAGGAAGAGAAAGGTGTCCATTAGGATTACAGTAATGGCAAGGTTGCCTGGAGCCTTGATTAGAATTAGCAGCAATAGACTAGTATAGCCATCTGCTTCAGGAAGTGAAGGAGGGAGCCTTTTGGACATTCGTGACTTGGGAACCTTGACTCCCTTGGGGATAGTGAATGAACTATGGACAAATAAGTGATTTGGCCCAAATAATGCAGGAGTAATTATTTTGTTATTAAGAACAGCCTGAGGCCTTTCCTACCTGTGGGCTTGGGGGTGAAGGCAGATGCCAGAGAGGATGCTGGGAAGGATGTGGTGGTCACAGTTGCTGGTGAAGAAACACAGAAATGAAATCCAAAGTGAGTTAGCTCGAAGGAATTGGCAATGGGTGGTGGGTATGAGGTATTAAGTCACAGAAATGTACAGCTCTATGATACTCTCAAACTGGGAACAGGGGGTCATGCTAAAAAGCATTGGCAAAGGAATGCCTGTCATCACGAACTCAGTCCTAATTTTATGCATGTCCTAAGGAACTTTTTCTTCTAGATAGTAAATGGGGAAGGGATTGGCACATCCAGACCTCCTACTGATCTGGAGATGAGGGTGGTCCCAGGCACACAGGGTTATTGGGGTCTGTGATACTCACTGTTGATGGTGGTAGCTGAAGCCCTGTGGGTGTAACCTGAAGATGGTGAAGGAGAGGGAGGGAAAGACATTTTATAAGGATACAACTTGGCCATACCATAGGAGAGATGTGTTTGGACCATGGCAGTTATGATACTTTACAAGGAAGACAAAGCCCACACCTGGATCAAAGATCACACACCCTATTCCACCTGACATACACAGAGGTCTTGCTCAAATTTCTCTCAAAAGAAAGGCCAATAAGGAAGCTTTAACTTGGGGCAGAAACTTGTCCTAGAAAGACCTGGATACCAAGAGGGAAGAGTCCTGCTTTGTAGAATGGCCTCTCACCATTGACATAGAGACTGTCCTTGTCCAGAATGTAGGGGCCCAGTTGGGTGACACCATGGGTTAGCTTGTTCAGCTGCCAGTAAAGCAATTCTCTGTCCAGATGGGTGTCCTCAGGGTCAGTGCGGTAGGTGCAGATGGCATCCATTTTGGTGGCTTCCCCATCCTTCCTGGGCCTGGGGAGGAAGAATGAGTGGAATACAACAAATGGTGTCCTCCCAGAGAGGTCAGGAGAGTCTTTAGAGGTGGGGTGGGGGTGGGGGGCTGAAGGACATGAAACAGGTGAAGACCTGAATTTGGGATAAAACAAGTATAGAAGGCACATTTATCTGGAGAGAATTCCTGGGGATAGTATTTAATGTCCTCCTTCGCCAGAGGAAAGCGTGAGGGAGTTCAGAGGGTGACCAGGGAGGGGTCAGTCCTGCTGATGGGATCTCCAGAGTCTGGGGGGTTGGAATGGGGACCAGAAGATGCTTTGGTTCTCCAGCAAGTGCCTCCTATATTCTTCCTCTGCTGAGGACGTCATGTCAGGCCAGGAAGAAAGGAAACCAAACCAGTGTCTTGGACTTGGGCTTGGCAGCACTTGTGGTAGCTCTGACGGCTCTATTATCAAGACGTCTCACCTGAGCGAGGTAAGTGTGCAGCCAGAGTAGAGGGGGCCAACATTGGTCTGATTGAACAAGGGTCCCAGCTGGTGAGCAAAGAGAAGGAGGTGAGTAAGGGGGCATAAGAGATTGAGTAACTATCTGGACAGGTATGAGGTGGGGTCGCCAGTTGGTCACTGTGGGGCTCTCACCAGGCGCTGCAGGATCCTTTCAGTGACGTTGAACTTGGAGGATCCTGGGCGTCCCATGTCATCCGTGTAGCGCAGGTTGGTGATGGTGAAGTTGAGGGTGAAGGGAAGCAATACAGGTTCAGCAGCTACATTTGGGGGAGGAAGAGGAAGATGTCCATTTACATCATAGTAATGGCCCAGATTATCTGGAACCTAGGTCAGATGCTCTAGAAGTCTTCTAACTACAGTCATCTGCTGCAGGAGCCCAACGTGGGAGCATTCTGGAATTGACAAATGACAGACACTGACTTACTCATTTAAAGAGTAATGACTACAAACAATCAAT